TATATTCTATTATGTTCTATTATGTGAAATGATGCAAAATTATGTTAGATTGTGTTTCATTATGTTATATTATGTTATCTTATGTTATATTATGTTATATGATGTTATGGATTATACTATATTATATTATATTGTACTATTGTATATTATATTGTATTGACATCTAATGATTTTTAACACTACATAGCATTTTACGTACTGAAACCCTTGAAAGACCACACGACCCTGAGCCTGAGTGTCTTGGAGGGCATTTGCCAACAGGTCTTTCAAGCGGCCAAGGAGGATGCCGTTGCCAGGCAGATGAGCAGGGTACGCTTTAGTACCACGGCAACTTGGAGATGAATGGCAGACTGTCATTCTGGTTTTGGTGGACAGACGCTCCGCGATCACAACCCTGAACGTCCCGAAACCTCTAAACCACTTGAAGCCCCATTCATCGGGTGTACTGTTGTGTTATATGTATATACATATATATGAGTATTAGTATATACATATAAATCTTATATATACATTATTTAATTAATTGCTTAATTATATATATATATATATATGTATAGATACTGCATGAGGTCGCCCACCCCTTGCGCCATTTCTGGCAACGGCCGCGGCTCAGGAAGATGGACTCCGAGAGGGAGGCTCCCTGGGTATTGTTCGGATTTGCGACGGCTCAGCCTTAGCGTCTCAATTGACTCAAATATTCCATGCATCAGGCTAGTTCCATATACATATATATATATATATAAAGTCCATAGTAGTTATATACATATATACAGTAGTATATATGTATATATATATATATAGATATTTTGTGCACCTCTTGAGTGATTCCGGCTGATTTGGGGTGTTATTTGGATTGAGGACGAGTCGACTCGTGACTTGGGGTCTAGGGAGGCTTCGTAGCATATCCCAGAAGGGGGTTTAGGGTTTAGGGTTTAGGGTTTAGGGTTTAGGGTTTAGGGTTTAGGGTCCTGACATGTTGCAGGAGCACATCCATGAGCGCCTCGGCCGCAACCTAACCTAAAGCCGCCCAGAAACTGTAAACGGTACAGCCGAACGCTCCAGTTTCGCCGAACCGAAGTCACTTGCTTGGAGCAGCAGAATTGGCCCATCATCTGTATCAGCAAACCCCAAACCCCCAACCCTGAATCCCTAGTGCCAGTGCCAGCTGCAAGGCATTGGATCGAATTGCAGCTTAGCTGAACCAAAGAAAATACGATATCCCCCTTGGGAATATTTTTTGTTTATGTGAAATCCAAGAGGATATTAACAATATTCGTTTTTGTTTTGGTTCTAAGAGGAGTATACTAAGGGGAGTATAGAATACTGGTACCCATGTTGAACTACCTTCACCGACAGGCGAGCTGCCAGTACGGGACCTTTGTGTTTGATTGTTTGGTGGATTGCGCGTGTCGGCCTCAAACGCCGAGGTTCAACGACCTCATCATGGTGGCAATGCTCTCCAACCTGAGCCACATCTTCGAAGTCGGGGGTAACACGGCGGCTCTGCTGCAAGGAAAGGGCTCACATGGACCTTTCGTTGCCCCTCCACAGCAAGGTCCGAAACCACATGTCGATGATTGTCCTCTGGATCATCATGATACAGTCGCTGCACTCGGTGTCCTTTGCCGCGGTCTCAGCACAAAATACAGGCGGTGCCCCCCCGAAGCAAAGGGGTGACGGCACCTGCACGTCGGTCCGCAAGTCGGATTACAAAATCGGATGCTTGAGGTTGTAAACCTGTGGAACATGGACGACCTGTTTACTTTGCTTTGCTGCTTCAGCACGACTCTGGGCTCCGTGTGGATGGCAGCAGCGGCCTCATCCTCAGCACGCGCGGTGTGCGAGCTCGGGAGTAGAGAAGACAGCACTTGAAGGTTCATGGTACTTTCTAACCACTTAGAATAACTGTACTTATAACCCTACTTATAATACCCCTAAAGGGCCTTATAGGGGTTATCCCAATTATAAGTAGGGTTATAAGCCCAGTTATAATTGGTTAGTAAGTACCATGAACCTTCAAGCAGAGTTACGGGATAATCCGGTGAAGCAGATCGTCACCTGCTCCCTTCAGCGTGCCGAAGCAAGCTACGCCAGCATCACCCTTTACTAAACCCTAGACCGGAAGCAGTGTCTCAAGACCACTCTGATATGCTTTGGCAATGCAGTGATCTCACACTCCACACGAAGTTGCTCCATGGGACCCAACCGCGCAGCATGGATGAATCAAAGCACTGCAAGGAATGTAGCTACTATTTGCTTAAGAACCCCCGAAAAATGAAAAGCAATAATCACTATATTGCCCTCATAAGGAAGAATATTTTATATTTTTGGGGCGTTCTTAAGCAATTCGTAGGTCGATGAGAAACATGTCACATGCGTCGACCTGGCGTCCCAGGTGTGTATCACCATACTGCTGGAGTGTCTCACTCCCCCTGCTGACTCAGCTGACGTGAACTACTAGAACTACTTAATCGCGTGTTCAACATGAGGTAAAAACTGATGTCCATCCACCTTGCACTGCAGCTTGGACAGATGAGCCGCGCTATGTCCAGAGGCACTCTGCAGCAAAGAGGTTCAGACGAATCGGAGGGTTCCTTTTGGGGTTTCATGCTTCAGAATGGGGTGGTGGTGATTGACTGGCGCTGCCTCCCTCTGCCATGCGACCCTCTCTCTGCAGACTGGAGGTTCGACTATGGAGTTTTCATCAGTCAAGTCTCGCAAATAGATGCTTGTCCGCATACATGCTGCTTGCTTGTGCTCTTTTGCAGTCCAAAGCATTCCCATCAAGCATCAAGACGCATCTAGAGTGCTGTGATTGCGCAGCAGAGGCTATCTGCACACAAGCAGCGATCTTCAATCCACCTGCACGACATCACGTCGCCACTTGGTGGCAATATGCAGCCGACGCCGCACCAAAGCCTGGTTTTGTTGCTTCAGGCGATCATGCTGGCAGCCAGCGTCTGCAGTGTCGTGGTGATCGTGTGCTTGGCCTGCAGCAGTATATAGGTATAAAAGTATGTACTTATATTTTGTGTAATTCGAGTTATCGATAACTATATAGTTATATACTTCTACAATTTCTTTACCTGGCCTTTGCACCAGCCGCTGACAGCACCAACCCCGGCGGAAGGAGTCAACCGACGTATATTCATGGCTCCGTCCGAAAAATATCAAGCCTTCAGTTTACGATGGATTGCCTACCTTGTGCCTTCTATGCTGTCACCTGCTATACCTGATTTTGCGATCCCCCGGAACCAAAGTTGTGGATTGGATGAGGATGTGCAATCTCATGGTTCCAGGCCTAGTCTGAAGCCGTGAGAGTTCAAAAGATCAGAACTGATGACGGCACATCGAGGCGTTTGACGCACTGAATCCAGTTGTAGCTTAGGTCTCTGACAGCTTACGAGCGTCTTGGATGCACGTGCACATTCCCAACTGTTTCCTTTCAAGCAATCCCGTTGGCCAGATGAGGAAGTACGTTCTCGTTGCAGCCATTGGCGCATCTTGGAGTTTTGAGAACCGGGAAACCGGCGTTGCCTTGTCCACAGCGAGAGCACGCACAAATTTCAGTTTCATGTGGGTCTTGGGTGGAGTACGGATGGGTGAGATCCTTCCGGGGCTCTTTCTTGTCTCGTCAGCGAAGTGGGAAGGGCCCTCGCAGCAACTTCAAGGCGACTGTGCGGTCTCTTCCATGAGGTTTTTGGGCACGCAAGTTCCTCGCTGTTGTGCACATGCTCCTGAACCCTAAACCCTAAACCCTAAACCCTAAACCCTAAACCCTAAACCCTAAACCCTAAACCCTAAACCCTAAACCCTAAACCCTAAACCCTAAACCCTAAACCCTAAACCCTAAACCCTAAACCCTAAACCCTACCTGAGGTATGTGCCTACTTCACCTGCTGGAAGTGTACGACGCTGGTGGAGCTCCTAGATCTGCCCCACCTGCGAGGAAGAGCTGACCTTTTGGTTCTGGTCTCCTTGGGAGCCTCATCTTCACAGTACCAGGACCCGCCCCCAGTGTGTGCTCGCTGCGCATCGCTGAGCCAAGCCACTTGCAAAGCGCCTCAAGAAGCCTAAAGCGCAGCACTCGCCATCGCACCCAGGTGAAGCTCCTGAGCCCGTGCAGGGGGGTGGGCTCTTCACTGCGCACGCAGAAGCTCAGCTCATTGTTCTCCAGGGGCCATGTTCTTTCTTGTCACAGCGCGCTTTTGAGAGAGCAACCCGAAAGGTGATCGTCTTTGTGGATGTCGTAGCGGAGCTTTCCATTCACCAACTGGCTGCACCGTGCTTGGAATACCAAGCCTTGCAAATCTGAGCCAGAAGTCAAACAGATGTTCCGTGTGTGCACAATGTTACGGCTACGCTGAGGCACGACGAGCGACTTGGAATGACATCTGATAAGGCTCTTGGTTAGTTGCTGTTCGTGGTAACCATAAATGTCGGTGTCGTCCTGAACAATGGCGGGATGGAGTCAGCTTCGACTGACGACTTAGTGCGACTATCCTTTGCCAAGAGACATCTTGTTCATCTCTTCCTGCCTAGCTTTCCTCTTTAGCACATTGAAGGGTTGTTGGTTATCGTCATGGAAGGCGTCGAGATAATTACCAAGATGCAGCCACCGAAGCACCTACACTGCAGGTTCGACGCCTAACATCGGCCATTAGTTCGCGAATCTCTCGGGCGCCGGCGCTACGATGACTTCCCCGCTTCACGCGTTGAATCGGCACTGCTTCAAATTATTTGGCAAGTTTGGAGATTCCACGGCTGCAGTGGACATTCGTCTGCCAAAGAACGGCCGGCTGGAACCACGAACTCCTCGCCCATAGCTGTATATAGTGCATCGTGACGGAGGAATAGATGCGCCTACTTGAGCATCAAAATGCCTGTGGTCTTCTCAGAAAGCTCCAAAGTGCTGCACAGGAATATCAGTTGAGTACCTTGTACATGTAAATGGCCAACCAAGTAGCGATGAAACAGCGCAGTGCCGAAGCCAGCTGCAGGGGGACTCGTGTAAATTGCTGAACGGCTCACACGCCGAATGTCTGAGCCTGAGTTGCACCACATGGCAGACTCATGTTCAGTCCTTCCTGGGTGATGCCTCTGCCTTTCCTTGCAAGCTAGGTGGGACCTCATCCTGCATTCAGCTGGCAGCACGGAATGTGGCTTGACTCCGTTACACTTGTGCTACCTCACCTCTTCACCCATATTCATTGCCAGTCCCTCTCTGCCTGTTCTGAGTAGCTGAGGCTGATGAGTCAGATCAGGTCTGGCTTTTGAGAGGCGCCGATCCCCTGCGCAACTACTTCATGCGGTTGCCGCGGCTTGTCGCTGTTGCAGCTTCTCCTCCTGAATCTGCGCCAGGTGCCGTGTATGTTGTGACGGTGCGAGTGCAAAACCCTGCAGCGTGCAACGCGTGCAGCCCACCTTGGCAGGCCGCCGCGAGCGAAAGCTAGTTTCAAGCCCACTTTGCTTGAGGGCATCGTCATCCTAGTCGTATGTTTGTCATGCAACACACTGAAGAAACTCCGGACATGTTGGGCCAAAGCCCAAGCTTCCCTCAACATTTACAGGTCATCCTCAAACTGGAGCAAGTGACATGGTCCGGAACCTGCTGGAAAGAGAAGCGCGCAAGCCGCTTTCATTAGCAGCATTTGCCAAGCATCACGCTTCGTGGATGTTCCGAGGTCATCAGAGGCACAAGGCTTCCAACTGGTGGGAGAGGCGCATGAATCTTTCTGGCCTTGTTGGTACAGCGCTTGGTCCACATGTACATCCCTGACAAGTATGCTTGCCAATGCTACCCACTACGCATTCCCTCCACCCCTGAGTCACACATGCATATCTCAGGCAGCTGCAGGCAGCAGGAGTCAAGTAGCTAGCGCAGGTCGCGGACTTCGTTGTCGAGCCGAGCCTTTCTCAGCTTTGCTTTTGTGTTTTTTTACCGTTCTGACAGCAACCTCCAGCCTGGTCCCCCCTTCTCCTTGTCCTTCACTGCACGACAACTCGATAGCACCGCCCTGACTCATTGCCCTGACTTATTGTGTGTCAACCATGCACTCAGTTGGGTAGCTCACACTAGCGCACAGCATCTTACAGCAAAATGCAGAGTGAATTGAAGGGTTCGGCTTATGCTTCTCAGGTCCCACCGCCTTGGCGATTCCTCTGTGCTGCTGACTGTGAGGATCGACTTTGCGCCCCAGCTGACACATATATCCCCCTTGGGAATTATCTTTTTCTTTTGTTTATATAGAACCTAAGAGGATATTAAGAATATTATGTTTATTAAGGTTCTAAGGGAAGTATAGACACAGCTAGAGATCGATGTCCTCCCGTGGGTCGCACTCGCGACACCAAAGTAGCGGACGGAGCCCAGAATGGCACCAGTCAAGATGAGGGGGTTTCCAAAAATAGGGGTACCCTCTTGGGGTTCCTATAATTATAAAAAGGATTATGGTCTTTCGGGGTATATACCCTTTTTGGGGGTTCCTAGAAATTTAATAAGGAATATAGTATGTAGGGGTATGTTGGGGTACCCCCTACTTTGGGAAACCTCCAGATGCTCATCCTGTGCAAGGTGGCCAGGCTCCTCTTGCACGACCAAGTGGTGTTCACCGTGTCATCACCCAAGCAGGGCCAGGAGATACAGTTTGGGGTTTAGGGTTTAGGGTTTAGGGTTTAGGGTGTAGTGGAAATGCTGAAATGTGGTGCCGTGTCTCAAGGCCGCCTGGTTGGGAGCTGGACCCTCTCTTCTGCGAGTCGCCCGTGGCACAGGCTTCGGACCCGTAAAGGCGGTTGTCAAAATTATGGTCCCTTTTTGGATCCCTATTATGATAATACGGCCCCTAATATCTAGGGTACCCCAAAAGGGATCATAATTTTGACAGCCACCCAATAATTTAGAAACTTTCCATTAGATCAACAACCCTATACTTTGGCCCAACAAGAGATGATGTGGGGGATTGCCGAAAATAGAGGGTACCTTATTTGGGGGTCATTATTTTTATTACTATTATTATTATTATTACTATTATTACTACTATTATTATTACCATTATGATTACTATTCTTATTACTATTATTATTACTGTTTTATTGTTACTATTATTATTACTATTATCATTATGAATGTTGAACCCTGTTTAGTGTTGCCCCCCCCCCCCCCCCCGAACAGCCGAACAGTCGAGACTGGATTCTGCCTGTTTCGACGGCCCCGGGGGTTTATATGATTTTTATAGGGAGGAGTTTAAAAAAAAATAAAGGGATCCATATGAAGTGAAAAGGGATGAGCTTATCTGAGTTCAAAAGGGATCCATATGAATTTGAAAAGGGATGAGCTTATATGAATTTCAAAGGGGTCCGTGTGAATTGAAAAGGGATGCGGGATGAGTTTATATGAATTTAAACGGGATCCGTATGATTTTTCCAAATTCGGAGCCTCCGGGCCGGGGCCTTGACATAAAACAGGGTCCCAAATCAGTGCCATTATTCGGGGCCGAGGGGTCTCCTGGACCACCCCCTTGTAAAATCATAAGGCCCGGCTTTAAGCCAAGATACCAAAACGTCCAAATTCGAGCCTCCGGGCCGAAACAAGCCCTAAATCCTTAAACAAAAATGCCGGATTTCGGGAACCGTTTGACTTTAAAGCGGGACCCCCAAACAGTCAGGATGTCTTGAATAACCCAGCCAAATTGACTTTATAGAGGAGGCCCCTACCAAACAGGGTCTAACATTATTATTGTTGTTATGATTGTTATCATTATTATTAGTATATGTAAAAGGGAATCCTACTATTTGGGGGTTGTACTATGGGTTCCTTATTTTCGGAAACCCCATATGGTGCGCAGTGATGCTTGACCTCTCTGTCAGGCAGCAATGTTGGGCTTGAAAGCCCCCCCGATCTGTTCCTCAACAACGGCAACTCTGACAGCGGAATGCTCAGCAAATCCGAATCTTACGTGTCGTAAGAACTATATGACTATATGACTATGATAGTACTGATAAGAACCGTAACAACAATAGCATCACCTCCCAACACCACTTGGAGATGGCCTAAGGTCTATGAGATGGCTTGGACCCCGGAGAGCAGAAGTGCTGCCCATCCGGGTTTTTGCGGCTGCGGTTGCCGTGACTATGTAGCTGAAAGCTGAGGACTTGCCACCACTCTCCAACCCACAGCTGCAGCTCAGTCCGCCGCCTAAGTACTGTATACTCAGATGCCCGGCAACTTGGATGATCGTGGGTACCTAGCCCGGTGGTGGTCAGATGCAGTCAGGACTGGAGGGTATGGCACCTGAGTTCGGCCTGTGGCAAGCAAAGAGGAGAGGGTGAAGCACCTCCATGTAACACGCCTCAGCACTTGGGCGTTCAGTTGCAGGACCGAGTGGCTCAGCATTCTCCAAGAGGCCCATGGTATGACGAATCAGCAACCTGAAGCCTAGTCTACATCATCATACCACCTCATAAGTCATAGCCTTAGGAAGGCTTTATGTGCTTCCCCCTGAAGGTCTCCACCGCGTGGCTAGCTCAGCATGGGCTTCTGGCTTTTATTCGATTCCAGAGTTTGGTGTGTTTGGGGCTTGGGGCGGCTTTGCCGAGTTGAGCTCAAAGGTCCGCCCTGCCTTTCGAGTTCAGCGTGGAAGTCCGGCGTCGCCGGGGGCCCCTCCTACCATGCATCATGCCGCCTGATTGCTGTTCATTGTGGGACAAGGCAGTGGCCAGTCTGTGCTAACGGTCTCAGCTGGCAAGGTCCAGGCCGCCCTCTCTCTCTCTCTCTCTCTCTCTCTTTCTCTCTGTATTTTGTTGCGTGTCGCGCGCGATGTCTCGGCTACCTAGTTTACGCAGAGGCATACGAGGTGATGCCCAACATGGCGCCCAACTGTGAGCTTGCCATCTCATCTGCCGGGCACTCAAGTACTAGTTCGACTGGTAGTGCGGACTTCTCCATTCACACACTCAAGCTCAAGAGCTTCAGGCCTCACTGGCATCGCTTGCTGCAATGCGGCTGTCATTGCGACCATCTGAAAGTGCGCACAGCTTGAATGCCTTGTCCTGGGATAGAACTTGATAAGACATTCTGCAGCAGTTTGCTCTGGGAGTGCAAGACAGGTGTAAATGCCTACGTGAACAGCATCTGGATACGGCCGGCACCACAGAAAAGCGTGCAGACTCAGTGCAGACTTGCTGGTTGTGGTCATCGGTTCCAGGCTCGAAAAACACCCGAAGCCCCAGAAACCTACCTCCAAACCCTGAACCCTAAGCCCTAAACCCTAAACCCTACAACCTAAACCCTAAACCCTAAGCCCTAAACCCTAAACCCTAAACCCTAACCCAGAAAGCTCTGAAAATCGCGTTAATCGCAGGTCATCCTTGCCTTATGATTTTCGAGGCTGCTCTTTGCTCTGGGAGGCAACGGGGTGTAAGTCGAATATGAACTGGAATGGGGGAGGGGTCCGAAATTAGGGTGTTTGGAGTTTAGGGTTTAGGGTCAGGGAATTCCCTTCTACTAGGACCCATTTCGAGGCCAAAACTTGGGGTACCATGTTCTCATAAACTCCCACTCAGGGTTTAGGGCTGGAGGTATTCAGGCAGTGATGAAAGGCGTCTGGGCTTTTAAGTTGTATCTGTCTAGGCCATGCACCAGGGAGCAGTGCAGGCTTCATTCGGTTGAAAGCAACTTGCCAACATTTTACCCATGGAATCTGTGTCCTCTTGGTTTTCTCCCCTATACGTTCGCTGCAGACAAGAAACATCAAGCAACAGACGTTGACGGGAACATCTCCAGAAGACAATCTACGGATTGCTTCCACATTGCCATGGTAGTTCCTATCCGAATAGTCTGCTCGAAGGAAGCAGTCCCCCATTTGGGCATCGTGAGATGGCCCAATGCTGTAGCATCCTGACGGGGGGGTGCACTCATTGCTGGCAGAACTTGACGGCAAGGAGCCAGCAGCTCGCGCAGCATCAAGACCGGAGGACTGCTGCTTCGGCACTGGATGAGTTGATGATGCCTGTGCTGTCGACGAAGTAGGTTACCCACGGTCATCTCGTCACCGTCCTACTGCTAGGGAAGAATCTTGGCAGCACCCTTCCGGTGCGAAATCACCAGTCTGACAGTCTGAGGTGACAAGGCGTGAAGTGACTTTGCACGTCTCTCAGCAGGATCCCGCGTTCCGTTTCGCTGGCGAGCCAAGCTGCGTCGGACAGCAGCTACCTCGGAAGTCTGACTGCAGCATACGAAGCTTACGTGCGTACCACTGTTGTGTGCGCCTGAATGACGGTGGCAGGTTGAATGAGCTCACACTTTTTGGCGTACTGCATGGCGCCCGGATGGCAGATTCCCTGTGCGCAGTCCTGTAGGATCTTTATCCATAAGCGCAGACGTGCAAGCATGAAGCAGGGCAGTCCTGGGACATTCTGGTGCAGCGAGGCTTGACACATCTATCAAGGACCAAGTGACCCTGTATGTGGCCAATTTCACTGTGCTCGCATCTCAGCCCTCGGAACGCCATTCAAGTTGGAAGGCCCTGGGGCTCCACAATGCCCTCAAGAAGCCTCCCTGAACCTAGATAGTTGCCAGCTCTCAGTCGCCTTCAATAGGAGATTGGAATCGGGTACCTGGTTCCCTAATGCCCGAATGCCCTAAACCCTAAGCTCCTAAACCCTAGCCCTAAACCCTAAACCCTAAACCCTAAACCCTAAACCCTAAACCCTAAACCGCGAAGTAGGCCCCCATTCATCCGACTTGACACAGACTCCACGGGGGGCGAAGTGAGGCCTCGGCCACCGTATGTTGCCAAGGAGAGCCGATGGGAGGTGGGCTTAGGGTTTAGGGTTTAGGGTTTAGGGTTTAGGGTTTCGGGTTTAGGGTTTAGGGTTTCGGGTTTAGGGCTTAGGGTTTTGGGTTCTTAGGGTTTAGGATTTGGGAACTTCAGGGGTTGGAAGATTTCTGGGGTTCAGCGTCGGTGTACGAGTCAAGAAGTCTCCTAGCTTCCTTTCGGGCAAGGGTCGGCATCCAGGATTTCGGGTGGTAGACGAAACGGAACATAAAGTCGCCCAAGGATTAGGGTTTAGGGGTTTAGGGTCTAGGGTTTAGGGAGGGTTTGGGGTTTTGGGTTCCTGCAGGTCCGTCCCACCGGGCAAACTGTGCTCGAATCCGACCCAAGAAGCGCATGCAGTCTGTCAGGGTCCTTCCCTCCACACTGAGTTTTGGGGTGTGCTGGGCTCCGGGTCTCCTAGCTCTTTAACAGCTTGACTCTTGATCTCAAGTGTTGGGCTCTTTGGGAGATGTTCCAGGTTCGCCATCCCCGCCCTAAATCCCTCAACAAGTAAGCCCTGAAACCCTCATTTCCTTCCCCACCTCCCCCCCAAAAAAAACAAAGAAAGAACAAACTCAAAATAAACCTAAGCCGTCCCAAACCCCTCCAACTGAAGCCCTGCGATCTTCAACTCCCCGAAACTCCTGCACACCCCCTTAAAGCCCTAAAACCCAAAACTCCTAAGCCCTCAACCCTAAACCCTAAACTCCTAAGCCCTAAATCCTCTAAACCTTCAACTTCCCCCCCCCCCCTCACCGATTGCCCCGAAAGAGGTGGCGCTGCTCCGTTCTCGGAGCGGCCTCGCGCCCATCAAGGAGGACCACGGGATCGGCCTACCAGGGCCACAGCCTCGGAAGCAATCTGACATTAGGGTTTAGGGTTTAGGGTTTTCTACCATTATTTGTTCTATTTGTTATTGGTATTAGTGATTGTTCTTCTTTAGTAAGTTAGTAGCGTTGGTACAACTATTGTGGTTGTTACTAGGTATTCTTATTCAATAGCGTCATGCATATTGTTCTTGTTGCTGTGATTCGTTATTGTTGTTAGTGTAAAATGTATGACCTCCACCTCAGCAGCGGGGCCGGCCCAACAGGGGAGTGTAGCGTGCGCATCGCAGACGAAGGAAAGCCTAATGTCGCTTGGTGCAGCGCCGCGCACGGGAGATTTGCGGTGGTCAGGGTCCCAGGGAGTTAAGGGGGGTTCCAAGGAACGCGCTGACGAGTCAAAGGAGGTCTCGGGGTGAGGAGGGGGTCCCAGTACCAGGGCAAGGTCCCGAAAACGGTCGCCCATATTTCATCTCTGTGGGAGACGCCGACAGGCTGGATCCCGCGCCATCGGATTGCGGCTCCTCCAAGCGGTTTGGGCAAGTTCCGGTGCTGGATGGCAAATGTCGGACTAGATTTTGGTCGGAGGCCGATGTGTATACTCTTTACCTATATGCTGTGGGTAATGTTTTTATTTAATTCCTCTTACTACTCTTACTGTCAAACACATTGTTGTTCCCAAGCATGAAGCCCCAAGCTCGAGTCGTGCGTCTCAAGGCCAGGAGCCTTTGGTGGCCTTGTTGTATCCGCGCGGGCCTCGGAGTATGTAGCCCCAAACCCTAAACCCTAAACCCTAAACCCTAAACCCTAAACCCTAAACCCTAAACCCCACTATCAAGAAGGGATCTCGGGCTCATCGATGCACCTGATGCGAACTAATGGACAGGCAGAGCAGTTCTACAGCAACTTGGAAGCCGGAGCAGTCAACGAGCGCAGGCCTTACCCCCACATACAACCAGTACACAGAGGCAGACAGAGGGCTTGGGTGCTGCAGATATGGGGTGTTTCCGAAAAAAGGGGTACCTTGTTGGGTCCTTATTATAGGGGAATCCTAATACATATGGGTGTCTTTATTAGGGGGGCCCCTTTCTCTCGTATTCTCCCCATAAGTCATGGAGTCTCTGCTGAGGCTCTCCTTCCACATGCGAGTCACGGTGCCACTCCTCCAGGACAGCGTGCTCAGGGCAGGGCGCTCGGCAGTCTCAAGCCCGTTCACGCGAAGGTAGGAGAACCAAGTAGTTTGGGATGTTCCCCCTTATACTAACAGTCCTTAATGGATTCTTATACCCTGGTATTATTCCTTTTAAGGAACATCCCAACAAGTAGTATGTAAATCTATCAGCTGTGTTCTGCTGCTTTGTAGCGGTAACATTGTGGCGAAGGGCAAAGCAGGAAGAGGATGGAAGAGGTCACGTGGCCTTCACATAGGTGATTCTTCCACCGGGCTTTACTTTGCAGCAGTTCGACTACTTCGAAGGTGCCGAGAGCTTAGGTGGAGGAGCAACGCAGAGTCATGTTCGCATCCGTGTTGAGTTGTTCTCGTGAGAACACATGGATGCTTGACAGACAGGTCTCACGTCACTTCGCCAGGAATCCAGCAGCCAGCGCGGCAGCCTTGAGAACTGCTTAGTCGAAGCAGGGAATTCAGCTCAACATGCTTCGATGTAAAACTTTTCGGAGCGGCCAGCATACCATGGATGGGCCGTTTCGACTTGCAAGAAAACGGCATCAGTACTGGCAGAAGTGAGAGCAAGAGGGAAGGCGCAAAGAGTGAGAAGATTCAGTTGAAGCAGCTGCGTGTGCCCCAGGCAGTGATGACGTCCAGGTCCAACATGCACCGGGCTTACGACTGAATCATGGGTAGTTCTCGAAATCGGGGTCCCTTTCTGGGACCCTCATTTTTGCGGGTGCTGTTCTAAGGCGTACTATACATCGGGGACCTAAGTAGAGACCCTGATTTAGAGAGCTGCCTTCATGATGACGGCAGCTTCCTCAAGTCACCAGTTCTGGCTTTAATGGCTTCGTGCTCAAGAAGCAGCAGTTCCAGTTCCACCTCACTCTAGTTCTTTCCGTTCTCTGTCTTTTCCCGACTTCAGTGTCCAGCTATCGGAAACCCGCAGCCAAAAGTGGAGGACAGAAGTCTTTGGAAGTGACGCCCCTGACGGCATGGCTGCATGGTTGCACAAGGCTTCTCCGGCAGTCTAGGCTTTCCAAGGATTACAATCAGTTTTAGATGCATTAAGTATATCAACTACATTAGTCTTATGAGCTAATATTCAAATATGTCTACAGAAAATATGTGTGAGATAATTTTATCCACAGTATCATGTTGGAGACTCAGGGTATAGTTAGCCATTGGGGCTGGAGGGGAAATTGCCCTGAAGTTTGAAGATAGCTTTGACAAGTATCAATGGCGACAAGCCGTCCCAGAACGCTGGTTCTGAGAACCTTTCTGAGCTGCTTTTGGTTTCTGAAATCGATCAGGAATGGTATCTTGCTCGATCCTAAACCCTAAACCCGAAACCCTAAACCCTAAACCCTAAACCCTTCAATGCCGTAGCTTGCAAATCAGCTGAACAATGTCGAGCGGCATCTGGCAGCCGAACTTCCTTCAATGACAAACAGGCACCGAAAAGTTCCCTAAACCCTAAACCCTAAACCCTAAACCCTAAACCCTAGGTAGAAATCCTGATGCTGCGAATCCTGGTCGTGCGTGGCTCAGACCCTCATGAGGGCCGCCCTTTCTCCATAGGGATGCTTAGGGCCTGCTTGGAGGTTCGTGGTACTTTATAACCCGAGTATAACTGTACCTATAACCCGATTATAAGCCATTAGGGCACTTAAAGGGCTTATATGTGGGTTACAAGTACAGTGATAATTGGGTTATAAGTACCATGAACCTCCAAGTAGCTACCTGTTGAGATTCTGTGCTTTTTGAGGGTGCCACTGGATCAGCAGAAGGGCTGGACCCCAAACCCCGTATCGCTAGCATTGGGTTATAAGCACCATGAACCTCCAAGTGGGCTGCCAAGGACTCTTCGGTGGAAGAGTTGCTGGAGTTCCGGATAAGGGTCCGCAACCCCACGGAGGATCTGCGGCAGCTGGCAGGGGGCCATGCTGGTACCGCGAACCCAGCATCCCGCATGGGCCCTAAACCCTAGACACTAAACCCTAACCCCTAAACCCTAACCCCTAAACCCTAAACCCTAATCCTGAATTGGCAGGAGTTGCCAGAGATGTACCAGGATCTGAATCGTTCCCTAGCTGCACACTTGTAAGGGACCAGAGAAGCCGGGAGTTGACGGCCCACCCAGTACTTCGGGGTTTGGGGTTTAGGGTTTAGGGAAAAGGGAAAAGGGTTTAGGGTTGAGGGTTGAGGGACGTCACCAGGCTGGCTCGTGGAGACGCTCGATGCAGCGCGCTGAGATACTTCTGATCATCGCCTTGCGCCTTACTTGCCTTGACTCGAGGCGACTTCTGGGCTCGTGGTGAACTCAAACAAGCTGCCACCTCCCCAGCTTGGCTCAAAAACCCTAAACCCTAAGGCCTAAGGCCCTAAACCCTAAACCCTAAACCCTAAACCCTAAACCCTAAACCCTAAACCCTAAACCCTAAACCCTAAACCCTAAACCCTAATCCTGTATTCCTTGCCATCATGCCTGGGTCACGCTCCTCTGCAGATCAGGCCCAAGGCAGATTCGGGCAGTAGCGGCATGAGCCAGCTGGAACCCCACACTACTACGGCTTGTCTTAGGGTTTAGGGTTTAGGGTTTAGGGTTTAGGGTTTAGGGTTTAGGGTTTAGGGTTTAGGGTTTAGGGTTTAGGGTTTAGGGTTTAGGGTTTAGGGTTTAGGGTTTAGGGTTTAGACTTCCTGACGTTGTGATAGCGACCCTGTGAAGCGCCATGGCTGCTGATGACGCAAACCTGTCTTCCGCACAGAAGAAGATGGGCTTCACACAGGTGGAGGTGCACAGTAAACTGCAGCTGGGGGAGGGGCCTGCTTGGAGGTTCATGGTACTTATTAACCAATTGTAACTGTACTCATAACCATATTAGGGCACTTGAGGGGCTTATAAGTGGGGTATAAGTACCGTTATAGTGGGTTAATAAGTGCCATGAACCTCCAAGCATAGAGTCTTATACATGGATGGCAGCTTCAGTTCTCTTCAACCTTCTAAGTTCACAGGCCACTCAAGCACAGACGAGAACACACCCTCAATTCTTGCAATTCTGCGAAACACAGGTGTTAGAAGACACGAGCCGTTGCATGCCTTTAATATTGAACAGTGTCGCTTCGGTTTCCGCATTCAGCTTCATGCCACGCCTCACCTGTGCACGTTGCGATGCCGTTCGTAGGATCGAGGCATTACAAGTGCAGGTGGGCAGTAGCTTCCTTGTGGAATGTGGCTGCTGAGCCAGCTGTGCACCTGCCTGGGCATCTAGGAAGGCAGGGCTCAGGAGAGGGAGGTGACCGCTCGGCGTCGCGGCTACGCATAGCGGCATAGCGGCTAGGCCGTAGCCAAGAATGAGCGACCGAAATGGAAGATGCCATGTGACGTCAACGAAGACGTTGCTGGATTTAGGCTCTTTGCAGTCTATGACGGACATGCAGTGAAGCTGTCACGTTTGCAAAGGAGAATCTCCCCATACATCTTCGGGGACAGTAGCTTGTCTGGGCTTGCTAAAGAAGAAGGACATCTGGATTTGCAATCCAGATGTCCTTCTTCTTTAGCAAGCACAGACGTTCTTCTACCGTTGTGCTCGTCAACGTAGCCGGCTATGTTGACGAGCATGGGCAACGTGTGCTTCCACGCTGGCATCAAGGTGAATGGCATGATGAGTGAGCCTGAGGTGTTCCGGGTGGCGATTGAAGACGCCGTCGACTTCATCATGATTGGGTCAGATGGCATGTGGGATGCACTAAATGAACAGTTTGCTCTGACGCACGCCCGCAAGGCACTCCGAACCACGGCAAAGCCGGAGGATGCCGCAGTTTCGATCCTGCAAAACGCGGGCAGGGTCAGCAAGGCAGACAACGCTGCAGTGGTTGTGATTGTGTTCAAGTTTCCGGGGCCGCTGCCAAAACGGCCAGCGGTGTAAAGAAAATCCTTGACGGAGTTGCAGGAATCAGCTGCGTAACCAAGTCCTAGACGGACGCACGTTTCCGGCGCAGGGCACGGCCGCTTCGCGAGCACCCCATGTATGCTCAGCCAGTAGGGCATCCACAGAAGATCACAGAAGTTTCCGAGCAGCGGGAGGGGCCGTGGGGTGCGATCAGGCGAGCCCGGACATGTCGGTTGCAAGCCCTAAACCGATGTGCCTGAAATCGCGTGGGAGGCACAGCCGTGCTCCAAGGATGACTGTGAGGCGGGTGGGTTTTGGGTTTAGGGTTTAGGGTTTTGGGTTTTGGGTTTAGGGTTTAGGGTTTAGGGGTCAAGGTCAAGGTGCCACTCTTTCATGATTCTTGTGCCTTTGCAAATAGTGCAAGTAGCATTGGGGAAAGCAGAATGAGGTACTCGAGGGTTTAGGGTTTCCGTGTTTAGGCAGATGGTCTGTGAAGCGCACGGTGCACACATGGATGCCATGGCCAGCTGAGGCAAGGGCTTAGGGTTTGTTTGGTACCCAAAACCCTAAACTCGAAACCCTAAGCCCTCAGCTTGGGCGGTTCCCCCGTATACTAACAGTCCTTATTAGGGATTCTAGTACCCCCCTACTCTAATCCCCAAAAAAGGACTGTTAGCATAAGGGGGAACGCCCCAACCCTCAACCAGAATCCATGTCATAACAGGCTACTGCTCGAAGCCGCGCTGCTGATTCGGCACAGGCGCAGAGAGACAACTGGTGCGGCGAGGGGATGCGAGATATGGGAGCGTTCTCGGAAACATGGTCTAGGGTTTAGGGTTTAGGGTTTCGGGTCCTAGTACAATTCGGAGCCCTAAAGTATCTTGATAGTAGAGAGAGAGAGAGAGGCACCCAAAAGGGGCCATGATAGAAGGAATCCCCCCAGATGCAGGCTAGTCGTAGGCATGCGGGGTGTGGGGAGTCTTGTCAAAAGGCAACGGCTCTTGCGGCCGACAACGCGCGGAAATGCGCCGAGTCTCGTCCAAGAGCAGCGCACGTGTGAGCCGGAATGGAAAGTACTACTATTTGCTTAAGAACCGTTCATAAAATGAAAGATATTATTCCTTATAAGGGTGATAAAGGGATTACTGTTTGTATTTTTCGCAAATAATGGAGTATTTTCGAGTTTCCTCAAGTACGCCCTAAACACTACTCTGCCCTGGCACCCGGTCATAAGAGCCCCGACCCCAAAAACAACCCTAAAACCTACACGCCCCTAAACCCTAAACCCTAAACCCTAAACCCTAAACCCTAAACCCTAAACCCTAAACCCTAAACCCTAAACCCACCCAAAAGCCCCTATAAACCCGAAAAGAAGCGTCGAAGTGAGGATTACCTTCCAGCTTTTGGCTTCCTTGCCGAGAGCAGCACGGAGTGGAGCCCGAAGCACATGACCAGAGTGAAGCTGGAGGCCTTCGGGGGTTTACTACTAAGTTGCTCAAGAACACCAAAAGAATTTAAAAGATAAAATAAACAAATAAATAAAAGCACAATAATCCCTATATTGCCCTTAATAAGGAAGAGAACTTTATTTTTCCTGGGTTCTTGAGCAGTTAGTGCTTGCGGGTTGAGGTTGGGATGTTCCTCCTTATACTCACAGTCCTAAATAGGGATTATCGTACCCCCTATTAGAATCCCTACGAAGAACTGCTACTATAAGGGGGAACATCCCAAGGTTTACGGGTGGAGGGGTTGAGGGTGGAGGGTGGAGGGTTGAGTCCTTCGGGGTTGAGGGTTTACGGTTGAGGGGTTGAGGGTCTTAGGGTTAAATGGTCCATTTAGTACGGGCCCCTTGATTAACGGGGACCCCTCATAAACCCTATATGAAACCCAAGGGCCCTCACTTCAGAGCCCGTTCAAGAAGGTAAGGGTTGAGGGTTGAGGGTTTCGCTTTGCTGATGGGAAGGAATCTGTTGATGTAGGCCGACAGTGATCTGATAGTGAGCTTTTGTTTTCAAATCGATTCGGCAACCCTAAACCCTACACCCTAAACCGCCTTTGCAGGCCCAACCGATGCTTGAAATCGTGGTACGTGGACATGAGGAGCCCGTATTGTGGGTCCTGAGGAATGGGTTTGCTGTAGCCATCCCAACATGACAAACGGCGCAGCAGAATGCTTTGACGGCATTGCAAGAGTGCTTCAGTTTAGGGTTTAGGGTTTAGGGTTTAGGGTTTAGGGTTTAGGGTTTAGGGTTTAGGGTTAGCACCCACAAAGAAGGTAAAGTGAGCACGTTTCGGCGGTCTTAGGCGCCATGGATGCCCCCTCAACAACATCATCTCGCAGCAGAAGTGATGCAATAATATTATGAGCGCCTTTATGATTCATGATTCCTTTATTGGCGCTCTTATGGTTATGGTATTATTAAAGATAGAGAGAGAGAGAGAGAACGTAGTGAGTGCATGAACTGTGAACAGGTATATGTTGCTGCAGAATGCTGTTTTGAGATGTTTTGAGTGCTCCGCCAGCGGCCTGTACCAGGACCTCCCAACTCCGGATATTGTTACTGACCCCCAAGCTTGAGAAGAGCACATGCACTTCCCATGAGCTTTATCAAACGAGCTCAGACTCTGGGTCCTAGGAGAGTGCCCTCTGGCATCCCCCCAAGCTCCACAATTGTTGGGTTTGCCGCCCCCACAGGAGCTGGGCTCACACACCTGGTACGTGCTCGATTGTGCCGTTTGGCGCCGCCCGGTCCGAAAGCGTAGCTGGCGTAGGTGTGAAGGGTTTTTGTTGGGCTTGGGGGATCTGAATCTGGGTCCGCCAGATGCCAGAATGACATGGATGTTTCACCTGTGCGTCCAAGAAGGCCCCTGCCTGGAATTCGCTCGCTCAGACTCTTGCTTGCAGCTTCAGCGAAACCAGGACGAGCAAGGGCTGGCGTCAAAGCAGCTTCAAGTGCACAAGCAGCTGCTGGATATCCGAGGAATGGCGTTGCTACCGCAGACTGGCCCATTTGCGGCAAGGCTTGCACGATCCCATCAAGGACTTCTCACACCTTAGCAGGGTGGGGCACGCAACAGCGGTTTCGGGTTTAGGGTTTAGGTCCAGTTTAGGGTTTAGGGTTTGGGGTTTAGGGTTGGTGGTGGCCCATCGCGGACAGGAAATTTTGGGATCTGGCTACGAGTGCTTCTCGGCCACACCCTTCGCAGGGCTTGGCGGACGCAGCGGGACGACCTCGCGTCTGAGAAGTTGGTGCCCAAGCCTCGGATGTTGTTCAGCAACCTGGAACCCGAAACCCTCATACCATCCCTTTAAGGCGTTTTTCAGGGTTTCAGGGCCTCAGGGTCTAGGAGTCTAGGGCTTACAGGAGCTTTGGATGGTTTAGGGTTCACAGTAAGGGTCTAAAACCCAAACCCTCAGACCCTCAACAGAATTTGTTGGAGATAAGCCTCTGTCTGTGACTTGTGACCAATCAAGGCCAGACCTTATGCCGCTGCATCAATGCAGCTGAAGCGCCTCCCCTTGTGGACGGGTCCTCGGGTGTGGCTTTTGGGGCCTTCAGTGAGGCTTTGAAGCTTACCAGGATGGGTTATTCTACCCTATAACCCGCTATTCCACCCTATAACCCCTAATAAAGGCCCTTTCTAGGGTCGATTGTTGGGGATTATAAGGCCAGCCCATCCTGGTATACTGGCTCCAGGAATCCATGATGCAGTGGGACCCACTCCAGGCATCCATCACTTTGCAGCTACTGGCTGCCCCGGCCAAGGCCTTGTTCAGAGCCGAGTCATGCTGCATGGGCTACTATAGCCTCTAACCCCTTAGAAATGCCCTTGATAGGGTTGGTTAGGGGAGGTTATGAGGCCCCTAAACCCTAAACCCTAAATGCTGGATGCTGCAATCGCTCGCATGAGAAGTGACCAGCCACGGCTCGCAGTTTACCAGCAGGGTGTCGTCTTCAAACCGATGCCCAAGAGCTGGGTTTAGGGTTTAGGGTTTAGGGTTGAGGGTTTAGGGTTTAGGGTTTAGGGTTTAGGGTTTAGGGTTTAGGGTTTAGGGTTTAGGGTTTAGGACGAGCATGCCCTTTGCACACTTTCTTGTGGAGATGCATAATGTCAAGTCTGCTGCTGGAGGACGTTGCTATGATCGCACTGGCCCGCACATGCGAGGAGGACTTCGTAGCAGACCGAAGCATAAAAAGCAATTAATTATCTTAATATGATCCCTTGCCGAATGACTCTTGGAAGCGCGGAGAGGAGGATCCCAGTGATTTGACTGGCATTTCCAACGCCAGAAGCTCAGAGAACAAACGCTCGCGGTAAGCACATGGATGTCATGGGTTCCCTTACTACTCCCCTCTTTACTACCTATAAGTTCCCCCTAATTAAGGTTCTTTAAGGGAACCCAGGGGGGGTAGTAGGGGAACCCAGGATGCCGGGTTTCGGCTGCGAGCCCATCCAGGGTCCCTGAGCCCCATGCTCTCCAAGGTGTGACATTCTGGCAGTTGGCCAAATCGGTCCCAAAGTGAGACTCTGCAGCCTGTGCTAAAGGCACGGTGACTTTCGACTGCCAGACACTGCCTCACGCTTCCCAACCGAATTGCAGTGTACCTTCGCTGGACGAGCAGCGCGGACATCAGACTTGGAAGTGGCAATTTCAAACGACATTGCCGCTTGCACTCAGACAGGTGTGGCCCGCAGCCAGCACAAAGTTGCCCGAGCATAGTCGCAAAGTGCAAGGAAGCATCCTCTTACCCCAAAGCATGGAGAATCTTGCTACTTGAAGAGGTCTTGGGTCAGCTTCGAGCAGCAGCCTTAGCAGCTTCATGCAGGTCCCCGCAAAGTACCTTAGAATCGTGCGGAACCTTCAAGCCCAACTATGCCTCGCACGTCCTAAGCCCGGACCCTGACCTCCCTTAAGCAGGGCTTCGGGGTTTATACGGTATAGGGTTTAGGGTTTAGGGCTTAGTCCAAAACTGAGATCAGACTGCCAAGACCTGCCAAGGCCAAGACCAGGCTTTCTTGAAGCAACGCCAGTTCCGCAGGCAAGTTGCTTGGACGTTTTTGGGAGGGGCACGATCGAGGATTTTGATATGGTGAGTTTTCAAAAAGCCTGGTTCTTATAGAAGGGCACACGACGAACCATGATCTAATCAACTTTATGTCTTCGTTATGCGGCGGCCCCCCATGTACAGCTCCTGAAACACCAATGTGGCGATAGTCTGGCGCTGGCTTCGCTCTAGCACTCAGTCTAAAGAGTGTAGGTATGCTTGAACAGAAAGAAAGGTACGCATGCAGGCATTTGGCCCCAAGTTGGAGTTGCAACATCTGCTGTGAACAGTTAGGAACTAGGTGTCGGCGGGGCTTGGGGCTGGAAACCATTGTTCCCAACCTCACCTTTTCAAAGCCGGCAGGTTGGGAATCATATTGAAACACGGTTCATATTACTGTTATTGGTGAGTGTATATAAGGTTCCTTTTAATATTGGTGAGTGTATATACTGGGTGTCCTTTTGGGGGTACAAGAAATATAAACCCTACTTCGTATGGTCATGCTTTTGGCATGTGCTCTGGGCCTGGAAAGTACCACGCCAGCGAAGCGCGGTGTTGGCTCGTTTTGGGGCCGGCAACCGTTGATCCCCACCCTCCCTTTTCGAGCCAAGAGGGCTGCAAATCATGGTCCTGACACTTGCAGGGGCTAAACACACCATGCCAACAAACATTTGGCACGTTCATGGTCTTGAAAATCAGCGGGTTGCCAGCACGGCGCTAGTACGGCATTAGCAAATTGTGCACGCACCTGGGTTTTCCAGACATTCGGTCACTGAGATCGGCTTTCAGACGTGATGGTCAGAAAATTTCGTTTTCGCAGAAGTTGGAAGAACTCTCGCTGTGTGGGTGAGAGTCTCAGCGAGACTTGCCATTTTGGTGAACTTCGAGGGTTTTATGTGGACGTGGGCGTGGCCGGGGTCAGCTGTTTATCACACTCCTGGAGGGTATGTTTTTGTCAGCTTTGGGGCGTTGTGAGTTTTTTTTGGATCCGGGGATGCGTGATTCGTCTTATGTACCTGCGCCGTACTCAGCACACAATACACGGGCACTTGCCGCCACCAATCAAGGCCGTGCTATGGCAAGGGCACCTTCGGTTTTCATTTTTCTGTGTTGCCATTGATCCCTTAATTTGTGCCCTACGTGATGTCTGTAGGTGTGTTCGCCTCACTGCCTATATGGACAGCAAGAGTACAGCGTGCGAAGGGCTGAAGCGGCTCGCTGCAGCACAAAAACCCTTTGAATTCTCACGGCTTAGAGAACTCCTTCAGACAGGCAAGCCGAGCAAATAGCACCACATGCTCGATCTTCTGAGCTCACCAATGCGCCGGTTTCCCTGTGCCCTTCATGGCTTTCAACCTGTTTTGGCCCTTATCCTGTTGTCTTTGCGCAGCTGCCGCTTGCCGTGATGTGATGTCCCACAGTCCAAACGAGATTTGCCAAAATGGTAAGGCTGGATTTTCTGGAGTTGTAAGCTTCAGGGTCGAGACGAAGAGAAAGTGCAGACTCGCACAGGAGTCCTTGGCCGGCGCAGCCACGCGCGTGACGCTGGTTCTGCGGGTGACGTCATTGGCACCCACCTAAGTCTTGGAATCACCCAGAGTTCCTGGCATACAGTGAAGAGAGTCCCAGAGACTCTTCCAGAATTACGCGTGTGAAGCTCGATCAGCTGCGAGGTGCGTTTCATGGAAGCTGCTCCCGTCATGCTGGAAGTGTGGGCTCCGCCATCTTATCTTCTGGAGGCAGGGGGTATCTGTGAAAGTAACGGGCAAGGCTGCAGCATCTCAAAAAACAACAGGGAGCTGCAAAGCAGTTGCGGACCGTAAATGGGATGTCAAAATGGATACGTTGGAGAAATTGGCACTGTATTCAGATCTGTGAAAGAGGGACAGTGTCCATCTCAGCTGGCACACATGGTATGGCCGCGCACTGCCACGCACCTGGCTCCTCACAGTGAGACAGAGACTTGATCTTGTGACGATCGGGAGAGCTTGAAAGGCAAACTGTCTCGGAAACGGCTCGACGACGTCCAGCCTGCCGTTTGCACAGACGTGCAACTCATTCGGGCGCTTAGCACAGGTCGGTGGGGAGGGAGTCGGTTTTGAGTCAACTCTTCCAGCTTCGTTGTCTGTGTGCAGGTCACAGGCACCTTGCCTGCAGAACTCACAGTGTGGGAGCTCGAGCCTTACACCTCACAGAGAAGCAATGACAACAGTAACAACAGGGGTCATGTAGTACTACTTCTTACTCGCAACTTACGAGTGGCAGCTGGCAACCAGCAAGTGCCCTCTAGTAATGGCTAGCACCAATGAGAAACTTCAAGTCGGGTTTGCTTACAGGCCCGTGCCTGGCATCAACTCGCAACAATCTGCACGACTGGAGGCGGGAGGTCAGCTATGAGCTCAACCTGGGCGTGGCCCAAAACGGTGACCTCGCCAGCAACTCGGACAACAGCGACTCGACAGCAAAGAGCTCATCAGGTCCCATCTCACAACGACCTCCTGCGAAGTGGATATGGGGGGTTTACGAAAGTAGGGGGCCAAAAATAGAGCCCCCAAATAGAAAGATTCCCTTATGAGAGCCCCAATAAGGTACCCGAATTTCGGAAACCACCATATGACTAAATTTTAAATGGTTTCGGCCAGGTTGGCAGGCCCAGCTGTGGCAAGTCGTTCCTGCGAACGTTTCGGATGCGAGCCTTGGAGTGTTTAAGTATGGCAACTAAAGCTATCACCGTATTCAGGTACGTAGTCAAACTCTAAACCCGAAACCGCAAACCCTAAACGGTAAACCCTAGAACCCTAAACCCCTAAACCCCTAAAACCCTAAAACCCTAAAACCCGAAAACCCGAAAACCCGAAAACCCTAAAACCCTAAAACCCTAAAACCCTGAAACCCTGAAACCCTAAAACCCTAAAACCCTAAACCCTTAACCCTAAACCCATATCCATGGACCCCCTTAAGTCAACCGTAAAGCCTTAATCACCTTTGGCTCCCAGGAGTGAGGAAGTTCCTCTCACCGTGGGTCCTGCAATAGTTGTGAGAGACTCGGCTTGAAGAATTAGGGTTTAGGGTTTAGGGTTTAGGGTTCAGGGTTTCGGGTTTAGGGTTTAGGGCTAGGGTCTAGGGTTTAGGGTTCAGTTCAGGGTTCAGGGTTTAGGGTTTAGGGTTTTTTTGGTTTAGGGAAGAGCCTTGGTGAAGATAGCTCCCTAAACCTCAAATGCTGCCCTGTCCGGTTGCCTACTTGTAGGAGACGCTGCTGTGTGGCAACCCGGTGCCGTGGGCCTCGAATCGCAGATCTTGCGCACGGATGCCACTTGCACAGCAGGGAGAGAGATCTTCCAGATTCCTGAGCTTGTCAATGAAATGTGATTCTCACCTCCCTAAACCCAAACCCTGAACCCTAAACCCCAAACCCCAAACCCCAAACCCCAAACCCTAAACCCTAAAACCCAAACCCTAAACCCCAAACCCTAAACCCTAAACCCTGCGGCAAATCGAAAGGACAGGCTGCTCGTGATTGACACCACGTGGTTGGAAACAAAGGGCCTCGTCGTTGGAGCTTCCGAAGCTGCGGCTTGATCGCACAGATCCTGCATAACGTGGCAGGTTTAGGGTTTAGGGTTTAGGGTTTAGGGTTTAGGGTTTAGGGTTAAAAGTTAAAAGTTAAAATAGCAGAACAACGTAATAACATAATGACTCAAGAACATAATACCATACCAATATAATAGCAGAATTAGAGCCATAATCTAACTCGAACGGCAACAAAGGAGCTTGTTTTGGCTGGGTTGTCGTTGATTGTCTTTTCAAGAGCCAGTGCTTGCACACATAGTCTAAACCCTCAACCCTAAACCCTAAACCCTAAACCCTAATCAGGCTGTGCTCCTGGCAGATGGACGGTTTGGAAAGACAGCGGCAGCGGCCTTGCGCAATGCTCCAGCAGATGACCGACCACGGCCACTGTCGAGGGCCGACTTGAAGGCATTCGCGAAGCTTTAGGGTTTAGGGTTTAGGGTTTAGGGTTTAGGGTTTAGGGTTTAGGGTTTAGGGTTTAGGGTTTAGGGTTTAGGGTTTAGGGTTTAGGGTTTAGGGTTTCGGGCTCCCTGCCACTTCTGAACAGCGATATGTAGTGACATGTAGCAAAGCTGTGTCGCTCTTGACATTTCAGGAGCTTGTCCACAAGACAAGCATTGGCGGTTATCGAGTTCAAGGCCCTTCCATCCTTCGAGCCTTAGAAGCGTGGGCACCACATGCTGTTGATAGCACACGCTCCATTGCCACACACAGTGTGCCAGCACTTGTCCAACACATGCAAGAATATTGGATCGCAGTAGATGGCAATAGTTCCAGGCCACTTAGCTGAGGTCCGCCTTAGTCTCAGCACAATGATTAAGCAAGGCTGGCGCGGAGATGGCGGCGAAAGGGGGTTGCAATCCTAACCAGCGACTTTACTGTAGCATGTTCAGCCAGGGGCCACAGCGGCATTCGGAGTCGGGGCGAGATATCCAACCTTGCCGGAATCCTTGAAGCAAGCTGGATTTTTTCATCCGACATTTTATCCATGTGTTCAAATTACCCGCTCACGGCTTGTGCTCATTGCGGTCTCCAAATAAGGACTGGACATCATTTGTTGCAGGCACCGCGGCTACCACAAGCGCTCTGTTTCGTTCATGCCATTCTTGGGGCCGATGTGGGAGTTTACGACAATAATAAGGGACCCCGTAGGATTCCCTTAAAATAAGGACCCCAAGAAGGTACCCCCTCTCTTCGGAAACCACCAGGTCTTCAGCTCGGTTTTGCTACGACACTCCGTCTGGCAAGCATCCGTATCTCCGCACCACCGCACTTCGTCTTCAGTTGCGAGCAGCTGCTTGCCTCGCCTAGCTCCAAAGCCGTTGGTGGCGCCGGGTGTTGAGGGTTTGAGCACAAAAGACGCACTAAAGAGTAGGGCAGTTGCATGTTGGTTTTGGTTAAGCTCATACTCAGGATATTTTGCAATGCCGTAGTGAAGCCGGTTTTCCTTCTCATGAAGTGGGATGTCCAAGGAACCGATTTCTCTTAAATACCAAAACTTGGACACCAAACCCTAATCGAGCCTAGCATGTTCTAGCCACTGCCGGAAATGACGAGACTTGGCATCGAAGCATATCGCAGCGATGAGTTTCGTACTCCACGATGATCCTACATCGCATAGTTCATCTCAATACGCCCAATGAACGGGAAGTCAGGAGGGTTTAGGGGCAAAAGCGCGTTAGATCCGAGGCTGGAGCCTGGAAACACGAGGCTTGCTTGGGCATCAGCAGCCCTGCCCTGCAGAGTGGTAGTGACACACGGCGGCAAGCGAAAGCTGCCCGAGCTGTCCCGAGCTGCCTTTGTGCCTCAGTTCCTTGCTTTTTAGGGTTTAGGGTTTAGGGTTTAGGGTTTAGGGTTTAGGGTTTAGGGTTTAGGGTTTAGGGTTTAGGGTTTAATGTTAAGGTCACCTTTATAATACGGGTGTCAATAGTGGCAACTTTTCCGGCCGGGATTTTTGCCCAAAAGTTTGTTTCATGAACAGTTTCCATTATGTTAGGCTGCCCCGAACCCTAAACCCCATTTTGAGGGGGGTCGTAATCAAAAAACGGGTGGTAATAGTGGAAACTTTCCGGGAGAATTTCCCAAATGTGCTTCCGAGAGTACTCCTCTTTTCACTCTTTGGCTACTTACTGACAGCAATCCAGACCGAGCCCAATGTGGGGCAGCCCAGCTTCATTTTGCCGATCTCTTGAACCGGCTCCAGGCTCAGAAATCCTGATCTTCGTGGCTGACCGAAAAGCATCGATTTCTTCTTAAAATCCTTCTAAAAAACAGCTCCCGAACAAATCCGCCAAGGCTACCCCCCACGAGGCCTCGAAATCGTAATAATAAAGGGTGACATTAATAAAGTCCGGCGAACGGGGCGATGCCGGTCTGGGACTCTCTTCCATCAGCAAGCCTCTTTGGCTACTTACTGACAGCAATCCAGACCGAGCCCAATGTGGGGCAGCCCAGTAGTACTAGTACTACTAGTACTACTTCCCCCCCCTTTATTATTACCACCCCGACCCCTTTCAAAGTTTGTTTGGACCCAGCGCCGGAACAAATCGGGGGGGGGGGGGGGTTTATTAAAGCGACCTTAACATTAGGGTTTAGGGTACTTCACGATGCCACTTTATGATTCGAGAGCCTAGGAGCCCATTTGAGTCAGCGATGTTTCTCCAGGGTGCGCAGCCTGGAGGACCAAATGGCTATGCAGCAGGTGCGGAATCGCGTCATGTGCAGAGCCTACATGTTTGGTAGGTCACCCTAAACCCTAAACCCTAAACCCTAAACCCTAAACCCTAAACCCTAAACCCTAAACCCTAAACCCTAAACCCTAAACCCTAAACCCTAAACCCTAACCCTAAACCCTAAACCCTAACCCCAAACCCTAAACCCTAAACCCTAAACCCTGGACGTTCGTGTTCCGAGCTTCCTGCAGGCATGCATTGGTGGTTTGGAGGCTTGGTTCGACTGGAGTTCCGGTCTGGCTGGCCAGAAGAGAGGCAGCATTGGGAAGTGGAGCTTTCCGATGAGACGGGCCTCTTTGATCAATTCTAAACCCTAAACCCTAAACCCTAAACAATCTAAACAGATTGCTAGCTGCATTCAAGATTGTTGCAGAGCTCAACGACTGTCTGTGGTGACCGACACATCTGTGCCGGTCTGTCTACCTCTCTAAGAAACGTTAGCAGGGCAGTGTTCGTGCCAAGCCTCAGGTGATCTCCGTCTCAGCGCCGTGCCCCAGAGTGCACCAGAAATGCTGGAAACTTAACAAAATGTTTGGAAACATTTTCTTTAATTTTAGGCACTTTAATTCGTAGGAGACAGCTAAAGTCATGTTTTTTGCTAGGGTTCCTAAACCCTAAACCCTAAACCGCGCACAGGAAACGTGGCTCCTGGATTCCCAGCTCCAGCCGCGCTTCACAGGCAACGGGGGAGTGGAGGGAGTGTCACCAGATTGAAGCAGGGTTTAGGGTTTAGGGTTTAGGGTTTCTTGTTTTGAAACAGGGTTTATATTTCTGTTTTTGGTGAGTGTATATAAGGCTCCTTTTTAATATTGGTGAGTGTATATATTCGGTGTCCTTTTGGGGGTACAAGAAATACAAACCCTAGTTCAAATGAATCTCGGGGTCGGAATAATTACGAATAGCATTCCCTAATGGCCCCTACAATTAGTTTATAATAACCCCCAAAACCCTGTTCTGAAGAATTCTGGCCGCTATCTTGTTGATGTAGACACAGATGTCCATGTGTTGATCGCTGTGGCTGAAGCACTTGCGACGACGTCACACAACGCTTCCTGGTCTCCACCCATGCTGAACTCCGGTGGAGACCATTGGACCATGATGCGCTCAAGTCAAGAACGCGGGCAGCAACTCCAGCCAGCCCGAGTCTGCACAGCACCCGTACCACCATGCACGCTTGCTGAGCAAAGCATACAACAGTGTCGCACAACGTCCGAGAGCCCCTCGCAATACTCCATCTGGAAATGAAGCTGGCGACTCACACATGGATCCCATCCTGAAGGTCACGCTGTGTGGTCTATGCGGTAACTTCGCACATAAGGTGGTGGTGACTATGTACTGGCTTGGTGGGTTTGCAGCGCATGCCATCATGTAAAAGAATTCAAAACGGGACATGGTACCTGAACGGCTAGCTGCGGCAGTCCTGCTGATTCTCTTCAGGCATGTTTCGCAAAAGTGTTTAGATGAGATGAGGGCAGTTTCGGTAACCATGTGTGCAGAGGCAGTATGAATCTATGAATCACTGGCAATTTGCAGCTTCAAGCAGGCACTGGGGACACCACCCTGGTGGACCTCACATTCGCAATTCGCTTCTTCGATCCTGAGGACGCGACTGGCCTTCCTCCACAGGACTGCATCGGAGACACTAAACCCTAAACCCTTAATTAAGGCCATTGCTGTAGTCGTCTGCCTGCAGTAGCCTGCCTTCAGCAGCTTCACGTACACATGTCCATGCAAAGGACATTTGGAATGCAACGACACAGCGCCTGCAGCTGTTTGTTCGGGGACCACGCAGCGTGCCGTTCGATCGCGCGCAATTCGCCGAAGGCTAAACACGTGTGACAAGCAGTCTAGCAACAGCCTCTTGCTGATCACGCGTCTCCTGAAGGCAGCTGTATCGAAGCGGGTGACGACATTTTCTTCCCGGACGACAGTTACTTGGGACGACCGCCAGCTGCATGCACTCGACTGAGCTTTCATCGACAGCTGCAGGCGCGGAGCAACTGATAGCAACTGGCTACCAGCTCATGTTCTTGCAATCGCTCTGCTGGCGCAGGATCTCACTGAGGTTCCGGCCACGAGCGTTGCCCCAAGACGGCTTCAGGGTCAGCTGCGCATGGCTCTGAAGCTGACATCACTCTGCAGGCGAGCTGAGGATGTTGCCACAGTATGCTACAGTTGCTTGATGCTGCTTGCCTGCCTCTTGCAGTGCACAGCAGATTCAAGGCAGCAACAGTTGGTACTCGATCGTACCCGGTACTCGATGACAGTGTAGCTGCTAGGCCACCGATGCCGCGGTGCAGCGATTTCTTCGCGCTGCAGCTGGGGCAGGAAGATGGAGCAAACAGAAAACATGCGCCATGTGACCTGTGAAAAGCGCGTGCTCAGCCCGCACTGCCACACAGCATGTTACAGTCATTCTGGGAGGAGCGGCCACTGTATGCACGTGATGCCGGTCTTGCTGCCCAACTGGAAGCGGGTGAGATTGGCACAGAGCAGGCAGTGGCACCGAGAGTTCAGGCAAGGAAGCTCGAGTACCGCACCGTCACATGCACTTGCCAGAATTGTGCTTTCCGAAATTGGGGTAACTTATTGGAGCCGCTGTTTTAAGGGAATCCTACTGTTTGGGGTCTAGTTTGGAGTCCCTTTTTTGTAAACCCCCATGTTTTTACTTAGTTTGTTGCCAAGCACATGTACAAGACAAAGACCAGATCTTCGAGCCGGGAGCAACAAGAGACATCCTCCATCGGAAACATTGTATACTGGGCAGGGCGGTGGTAAAATCTGTAGATATTTCCATGCAGCACCGTCATATAGCATTGCCATAAGTTCATTTCAAATCCGTGCGTGCAGAAGAATGGCTCAGGTCACTCTGCTTCCTTAACGCAACTCATGCAGGTCAGCAGCTTCGCTTTCACGGTGTCCCTGCTCCTGCTAGAAGCATCTGCTTGATTGATCACTGTCTCCTACAAGTGCCCAGGCTGCAAGCATCCTCTCTCATGCAATGCCTTGCCAGCCCTTAAACAGAGTTGAGAATGTTGAAACGCACCCCAGACTTTCACTGCCTTCGCGCGCGAATACAGATGCGCTGCAAGAAGCGATTTTCAGGCTCAGGGGCCTGGTCATCGCGCGGTTCTGGGGCGGCGAGCTGGATTGGCAGCAAACTGAGCAGTGGCTACATGGCTTTTCCTTGCTGGTCGCCAACCTGCGTGTCCTGGACAGAAAGGAGCGGACAACATACAAGAACAAGCTGAATGGCAACCAATTGTGGTCACCACGTTGTCCTGCAGCGCTGATGCAAAACGCCAGCTGGAGAAGGAGAGGACCTGGAAAGAATTTTCGTCGGGGAGCTGTCATTGCACGAGTGAATCATCTGAAGCTTTGCCAGCAACGTATGTCGTGACATCCCTTCCTTCAGAAGTGAATGCATGACGTAGATCTTGTTTTTTCAGTTTCATTGTGCTGGTTGTGAAAGGGAGTGAAGCTTTCAAAATTTAGAAGAATAATTTGTCCAGTCCAGCGACCATTCCAGGAAGAGATGCCGTCCATCACCTTGGTGCAGAGCAGGTGAAGCATCCAGTGAACTCCTGGTTGTCCTGTCCGATGGATGGACGGCTTGGGTGAATGCAACAGAGGTGTCCATGGCTCCTTCTCCGACAGGCAGGGACTTTGCAGGTGTTGAAAGTAGAGCGGGTGCCATCGAAAAAATTCAGCTTTCATTTCCGGGAACATGCAGGACTTGTGACTGCTTCAGGTCAATGATATCGCCATCATCCGGAGAATGGCAGTGTGTTCGTGACCATTCTGAGGTGCAGTGCGGTACCTTCTAAAACATACCATAAATGAACGCACTCGTGCTTCTGTGCGTAATAAGACTATGAGCGAAATGAGAGAATTTCTTGGACACATTTTTCTTATCTGTGTGTGTTTTCATTTTACAGAATTCAGGTATTGGACAAGAGCCCCGGTTTCAATATGATTCCTGCGTCTCAAAGGTCTGCATATAGGGGGAAGATATGAGTATATCCAAAACGCCCCTTAATGCATTATTAGGCGAAAAGAAACTCCTAAGCATCGTGATGAACTGATCGCACCAGCGATACCGCTGTTGATGTGGTGTGTTGGGCTTCGGGTAGTTGGCTTCCGCGTTTTTGTCTTGGTTTGCTTTACTGTCGCTTCTTATTCGCTCTGAAGACTCCCTCTAAAGAGGCGCCTTCCAAAAAAGTAAGAAATTCCTGCGCATACGTTGCTTTTGGATGATTGCGCCTTTTCCAATAATTTTTGGAAAAGCCCACAAGCCTCTTATGGGCTTTTCTAATAAGTTGGGCGATGCTTTCTTTTATTCGTCTAATTGCTTTGGGTTTCGGATATTCATATACCATCCTAACCTATTTAAGACCCATATTCAGCTGACGAAATAACATTCGACTTGAAATATTAGATGCCTTTGTTTTTCATTTCATGAGATATGGTTTATGCAGATCATGAGACTTGAATACTGCTTCATGAGATTTGTAATATATGTTTCATGAGATAAGGTTTATACGCACCATGAGACTTCAAATGTTAGATGCCTAGGTTTTTCACTTCATGAGACGCATCATGAGACTTGACAGATTAGATGCCTAGGTTTTTCACTTCATGCATTTGTATGAGACTTGAAATATTAGTGCCTATGCAAGTACCGTAGGCCCATTGGTGCTGCAGTCGGATCCCTACTTCGATAAATCGTGTGCAGATCCTGGTAACCGGGTTGCGAAGACAAACCGGCCAGTGTCGCGCAAGGCAAAAGACTTCAGTGCGGATTTTCAGCATCCAGCCCCACGACAATGTTTGTGGCTGCCTAACCCACTTGTCCTAGCTCAGCCTTGGCTCAAGTGGCTTCCGGCAAGTGTGAGCACAGCACGCGGCCGGAGAATAGCTAGAGCTGAACGGCGAAACGGAAGACAGGAACAGCGAAGAAAGCCTAGAGAAAGCTTTTTCTTAACAGGGCCTGGACATCTGCTGGCTAGCAGCTCGCCTCCAATATCCATTCGCGAGATGTGGCGCATGGTGGCGTCAGGCACACAATGGCCACACAGGCAGGGGCCGGATGTGTGGAGTTTCTTGGCAAGAGTTGAAACCAAATGACAGTTGTCATAGAGATTTGAGCACTTTGTCTTAGACTTGCAGACTTTCAACAGGGTATTCAAGTGTTTGGTGCCAGGACTTGTGCATTTAGCAGTGACTTGAGTGGCGTGCGATGAAGTGTTGAAAAACTGTCCGAATAATCGCAAACAATAAGAATTTTCAATTGTGTCAAATGTGTCCGTTAAGATTCTTAACTGCTGAGCTCTATAGTCTTCAACCAGATCGTGACAGACTACTCGTATTGGGATCAGCGCAAATTGAAAACGATCCTCAATGACGAAACTTTTTGGCTCTGCTGGATCCCTGTCTTCGCACCAGCCACGTTTCTGGCCTATGTCTTGCTCCCCGCAATGTGTTCCGGCCCAGACACCTTAGTACCAGGAGTGGGTTTGGGGCCTAGGGTCTTGCACCCCTACCCAGGTAATGTCGGCATACCGGTTGCTTGCGAGGGTAACTTCTGCCCACGCGTCCTCGCCGGTCACAGCAGGGCCACAGCTCGCCGGCCCGCCGGCTCGCCGGTCATTTTTCCCTAGTAGTAGAGTAGGTAACCTTTAACCTTTCCGCTCGACCTTTGTATCTCCTTCCAGGTAAGAATCCCCATCAACCTGGGTATGTTCCTAAATCACAAATTCACTGATATGCCGAAGGTCAAGACGAAATCACCGGCCACATACTTTCTTCCCAAACGAAGTGACGCGGCCAAACTACCCCCAGAGATGCTCACGCAGTCTGTGGCCACTTTCATAAAATGTTATGATCTAATCCACTCACAGATCCCCTTGACACCGACGGCCAAAGGACTGGCCCGAGCATTAGCGTCTTACGGCTTCACAAACGTTGTACCCTCTCTCCAAACCACGCCAGTCCTCCTCTCAGGACTCAGAGTCAGAAGATTCCTTGAAGGGCTCATTGTTCCCAGAGTTCGCATCCTTAAGTACAATTATCGAATCCCTCCTCATCCGTCGTTGCCTCTTCCCCCGGGCTTTCCGCCTGACTTCTGAATCTTTAATTTGTAGCATGTCTCACGCTCGACGCCGGGGACTTGCTGTGCACACGTCGCGCTTTAACCTTTTTGGGGTAGTATAATCCCCCTTATAATCCCAAAAGGTTAACCTTTAATTCCCCCAGGTTACTGGACAACTAGGTTTCTGAAGAACACCAAGCAATCCCCGCCCAGCTTTCTCGTACTCCTCAGAGATCGCATTGCCGGTGCTCAAAAAGTCTCGGAGCCCATATGAGCTGCCCCCCCTCCCCCCCCCACCCCCCCCCCCCCCGGGCTCTTTAAGCCGCGCATGCTTGCGCAGAAGAGCAACATGCCATCGAAAGGAATGCCTTCAACAGAACATAGAGGGGCCCAGCATTGAGCAATAACATGGTTCCACATCTCAGCAGGGGCCATCTAACCGTGACATGAGTCTCTTCATCTCGGCTCGTTGTTGCTTCGAAGAACCTACCGGAGTACAAGTTTAGACCTTCACATACGGTGTACATAAATATGCAAGTGAGAAGACGCCCCGCATGTAGCAGAAATGTCGAACTTTGCAGTCTCTACGTGGACTCTATGTGAACTCAATTGATGGCACCATGGATGCAGGCCACCAAGATCTTTGGCAGGCAGGCCACCCCAGTCTCCACAGTTCTGCATAAGCCTTCCCAGCAGTAACTCTGGTGAAGGCATGCTACCTAATGCAGGGTGGCGCAGACGTGTTGCGTTGCTCCATGTGTGCACGGCCTGGTGTTAGAGACGTGCCAAAAATTGTCATAACATCGAACCAAACCCTAAACCCTAACCCTGAACCCTAAACCCTAAACCCTATTGCTGCTCTCATGAAATAAACCATATTGCTTTGCAGCCTGTGTGGCCTTGGCGGGCCTCCTCTTCCACTGCTGCTGCCTATGTGGCTTCCAAGGCCAGGAGCCCGGACGCCCACACTTCTGCATTTCGGTTTAGGGTTTAGGGTTTAGGGTTTAGGGTTTAGGGTTTAGGGTTTAGGGTTTAGGGTTTAGGGTCCTTTGAACTTCGCTAGACACTTCTAGGCTAGGGCCAAGACGTAAAGAACCGAGGCGTGCCGGCACTGGTGCAATCTTCAGGCTTTCACAACTGAAGCTGGTACGGTATGCAGCTTCTGAATGCTCCTAGATTCTGGCACCGAAATGCTGTGAAGGCCAGCACGGCTCGCGGACTCCACACAGACTTCAGGTGAATGTCGCAGCAAAGGAGGCAAGCCTGTCCATGAGGGGTTTAGGGTTTAGGGTTCAGGGCATACATATCTCTTTGGTGAGCTGCTGGTTGTAGCAACCGTGCCGCTTGCCAATGGCCAATACGGACGTACGTGGTCATTTTGAGTGTTCTGCACCAACTGATGCACTGTGCGGCGTACGCAGTGCCGGCCTATCGCAACGGTGAGGCATTCACAGATGTTGACCACCGCAAAGACAAGTAAGCTTTCAGCACGAATGTTGGAAGGGTCGGAAGTCGTCGTTATGGAACCGGGTGGACTTCGCACCATCTGCACCTCGGACTGCTGAGGAGTAGAGCCATGCATGCGTGGTGATAGCATGGGAGAATCCTGTTGCGCCCGGGTTCAGATGAACTGGGGGAGCCGCATCGTGCACCCTCCGAGTCTCCGAGGTCAGTTCATTTGCGGGATTGGCTCCCCAGGTGAGCTCCATTGCGACTCGGCCCTGGATGAAGGTCAGAGTTGGAAGCTGTGCCTGGATGTGGTAGCAGGTTGTCACTTCGATGGTGCTTTTGGGAGCCCCTTGGATGCCTCAGATATCATGAAAATTACTATCATTGTTCATATCCTTAATTGTATTGA